ATGTCTATATATGTATGTAATTATGCACACATAATATATATATATATTTATATATACATATATAAATATATAAATATATATATATACATATGCATTTATACATATATACCTATTCATGTATATAAACAGAAATATATATATATATATATATATATATATATATCTATACACACACACATATATATATATATATATATATATATATATGTATATATATGTGTGTGTATGTATTTATACATAGGTAACTATGCATGTATATATAGAGAAATATATTGATCAATTTGTAAATTTGTATATATATATATATATATATACATATATATATATATACATATATATATATATATATATGTGTGTGTGTGTATAAATATATATATATCAATATATGTATAAATATATATATAAATATATAAATATATAAATATATAAATATATGTATATATATACATATAAGTATATATATATATATATATGTGTGTGTGTGTGTGTACTATACGCACTTACTTATATATTTATTAATGTATATATATATATATATATATATATATATATATATATATGCGCGCGCGTGTGTGTGTGTATGTGTGTACTATACGCACATACATATACATGGGAATAGCGATGATAGGTGAAGAGCAATCGCTGCAGTCAAGCGCAACTTTTTCAGATGGAAATGCGCGTGGATTATACAGCTACATACCTCGCAAACATTGGCAGCTGAGGCCTCAAGCCAAATGAATTAAATACTGAATTCATCGACTTTGCTATATACGTAGGAGTCAACACTAGCGATCGGGTGTGTGTAGCGGTGCTGGTGAGTCGCCTCAAACTACTGAGCGCTACGGAGAAAGACATAATAGTGATTGAAACTGCATTTACTGAGCGGCTACGTGTCTACGTGAAATGATGTCAGTGCTATTTGTGAAAAGTAGACATATGCCAATCACCCAGAGGAGATATTGGGTTTATGTACTCGATAGGTACGTGTGAATATGTATGGTACGTACATAAATATGTATTGTGTGATTTAGAAGGTGCTAAATATGATTTAGAAGGCTGACACTCTTGTATTTGTATGTTTATTTGTCAATTTATAGAAGGCTATGGTTTATTCATCGTGGCGTATATACAAAGTTGGGAGTTAAACGGAGATGTTCTGTACACTTTAAAACTAAATTTTTCACTGTGTTTACTGTTTACGGTTGTTCCTTTGGCCATACATATTGGCCATTTTCGATTGGTAGTTTGTATGTGTATTTGGTACGCTAAACTAATTGAATAGCAGAGATTATAGACGATTGTTATTTTGGGGTATCCCTTCTTTTCCCTGAGTCCGTAGCGGTGTAAATATTTTGATTATAATTAATAGAAACAAATATTTTGAATGGGATTTTACCTGAGGCCGTTTCGAGAAGAAATAAAAATGATTTGCGCGCCACCTGCTAACGACCGATCTATTTCTTACTATAGGTAGATAATTCTAACGGAAACACATTATCGAACTATCTATTAGATAGTCGGATATAGAAGCTCAATATCACTTTACGTCTACTGGGTGCACGCTTTCTTCCGATTTTCGTAGGCCAATGTGTGCAGATGTTACACGATTCATCAATGGTCGCGAGAATAACCGGTTTTCTTTAAACCCGGTGGTATTAATATCAAAGCGAGCGAATAACAAAATGGATGCACAGATGTCCTCTTGACCTCATAGCCTCATAGCCTGCGCGCTAAAGCGATATGATGGAAAGGAACAGTAAACGTACGTTAACGAGGGACTTACAGAGTCATGAGGCATCTTCTGAAAGCACGGCAAGTTTCAAGTATAATTTATTTATCAAGTCTACATCACAATCTCAGGCGCAAAAATAGTATTCATGCGCACTGGTTGGTATGGTCCGACGAAATTTACTTATTTATAAATATATACAGGCTCACAATATATGTATTCTATTGTATACGGACTTAGATATATACACATGTAACTTTATACTTTTCAATATATGT